GCTGAAAAATGGTCAGATGCGTCAGCTGAAGTACAAGACTTAGTTAAGAAGATGTTAGTTTTGCTACCAAAGAAAAGAATCTCTAATAAGGATATTTTAGCACACCCATGGATCAAAAATGTACGTTAAAAATCAGCAAAACTTCTATATCAAAATTTTAAATGTTTTTATTTTCAAACGTTACAAAAATATTAGTTTTACGCCTATGTACAAAAGTACTAAAATATATTATTAAACTGACATTAAGTGACAAATTCTTTTTATCTATGAGATAATCACTTTTATAAAAAATTGTTTGTGACGTTTGAAAAAAAAACATGTTCTATTTGGACTAAAATTGTACACCTAATAAAACAGTATACTACTTTTAGGATCACGGAGTTCAACACAGGGCGATCAGGCTTTTGAAGAACGAGGGTTACGAGAACCCTTTAAACTTTTTAGCGACTGAGCCTCCGGAGAAGAAGTTTAAATTTAACGAATATTCTAGCTCCAGCTCCTCAGGTAACTCTAATTCTACCCTAAGATGTGCAACCAACAGTTTTAACAGTACAGTGTGCTGTTGAAAATGTTAGCTTTAAAACGGCTGTTTTTTTTAATATTGTTGTTCCTTTTTAGCTTATATTATATTTCTCTCTACTATGTATTCTATTTCTTAAGTATACCACGTTAAAAATATTTTATGGTCGCACAAAAAAAATATTTAAGTTTGGCTTGAAATGCAATTTTGAACTCAAGTTTCCTTACCAAAAAAAAACGGCATCACAGTAACCTTTGAAGTGACAAACTGATAATAAAATTGACACAAAATCTTACCAGAAATTAATATTTAAATGACATAAAGTTCTTTTTTGAAAATTGATTAGTAAATGTTAATTTCTGAGAATTTATGATAGAAATTATCATGTTGGCCGTCATTTCAAAGGTTACCGTGACACCGTTTTTTTCTCATTCAGTCATTATTCTGCCACAAGTTTCATATCCTATAAATAACAATGCTAGACAAATTTTGCAAAATAGTCAGCAATTAAAAAATAAATTTTTTAAGTTTAAATGTTTTTTTTTGTGATCATACTGCTTTAAAGAATATAAGTTTTATTTTACCTAGTTACTGATAAGTAAAGTTGTTTATAATGCGACCTTACAAAGTGACTTACGAGAAATGTTTCTCTACAATTGGGTCGCATTGTGTCATAGTTTGTCCATATTTGTTATATCTGTCACGTATAAGTGCCATATTGAAGTATTATTACAAAGTTTTTACATTTTTGTAAAGTATTTTTTATATAAAAAACAGTTTTGTGAAATTTACACATTCCATTTTGTAATAAAAAGATTTTTTGATCAATCTGTATTTTGTTTTGAATATATACAGTGTGGTCAAATGTAAATGACGTCAGTGTCAAAGCAGACTGTGTCAGTTAAGAAATTGATGATGTAATTTCAGGACAAAAAATACAAAGTAGGGATGGACGATCATAGATTTTAGCTATCGATAATTATAAAATTATCGATAGTATATCGATAATTATCGATATACCGAAACGCCCATCCTAATCGTATTTAGTAATTTAGTACAAAAATAGTTGTATAAATATTGTTATGTACGGATAGTTATCAATAATCGATACCTATGCCGATACTTTCAATACATTGATAGGTGACGATATTTTTTAGATATTGTCCCATCCTTAATTACAAAAGCAGCCAGGGTTGGGTATTTAGCGTCTACGTTTTTACGTTTTGATATATAAAATACAGGTAAAAAATCTGTCTTTTCAGGAAATATTTTTATTTCTTTTATAATTTTTTTTTTGGTTAAAAATTAAGAGTAAACTAGAAACGATCTAAAATCCGTCTTATAGGAAGAGGTGTTGGTAAATAAAAACCAGTTTTTCTTAAATTAAATTTTAATTTCAATATATTCTTGTAAAATACAATTTTTTTCAAAAAAATTGTCTTAAAAATAACATAAATAGATTCTCACAAGCTAAATTAATACGGGCTGTTTCCTTTTCAATATTATAAAGTAAAATATTCAGTCTTCTCGGCATACGATGTATTCTACAATAATTATAATTAATATAATACCGTAAAGCCTATTTTAATACCATACGATCGAAAAAAAACGGCGTCAAGTAGGCTTGGAATGGGATGGCTTCGTTTTCCCAGGGATCCTTGACGTAATTTTTTTTTCAATTGTGGTATTTTTACAAAGTACTGGGTTTTAGTACCTTGCAATACAGTGGTAGTTTGTATAATAGAGATATTATAAGAAACAGATTGGCAAGAACACGTGTAAAAAAATTCAACTTTACATTGTTTCTAGTAACTGTCATTTCACTTTTGTGGTTATAATACCAGATATACCTATTTGAAGTTAATAAAGTCGGAACGCACTCAAATTTCTAATTTCGGAACGTACTTGAAATTTTCTGGACAAAATGAACTGATCCCAGACACACCCTAAAATTGATGATTGGTGTGGAACTATAAAAGATTATAGCTATCTTTCTTGCACGTTTTATTGCCAGTTCTGCTCTTTTATATCTCTAATTCATAACAGTGGGTAAGTTACCACCAGTAAAAAATCTATTATAAGTCTCTTATAAAATGTGCTATATTGTGATTAGGTATAAACACTGATAAGTACAGTTATCTCTAATTTACCCGTAGGTACAAAGCTCTAGTAACAAAGCTATATAATATTTATTTATATATAGGAAAAAATATGGGACATCTATATAAAATCTCAGCAAAATTTTAATAATACACATCTTACATGTTTTTTTTAAACCTCAAAAAAGCTTCCTTTATAATAAAATTGAGATATAAAAGTATCTTGATTGACAACCCTAACAAAAATTTTCGTTATTAACAATTTAATAATTTTATATGAAATGGCAGTGATGATAGCACATGATTCGAATGATTACCAGGGCAAGAAATTAGTAAAAATCACCTGTTAAAAAGAAATATTTTGATTAACTGATAAAAAATAAAGCTTACTATTTGTAGGTTAGAACTTGTTGACCTCTCTGTACAAAATAATTGATTTATATTAAATATCAGACTACTTGTCTCAAACTCCACACTCGGTATAAAATTCTCAAAATTCATTGTAAAAACTCTCCAAGTTTTCTAACAGCCAAACAGAAAATTACAAAAATCTATCACAATACAGTAGAACACTTTGTTTTATATTTTGAAAGCAATTTTCTCCACTGTTTTAGACAAAAAATTACCATGTACAAAATTACAGGCAGTTAAGACATTTGCGAGAACATAAAAATAAATAAAGATAAATAGAATATAAACAGAGATATCTGTTTTATATTCATTCCAGCTCTCTACTGTCCTACTTACTGTAATTTACTGTTACACTCGGTAACAATACCAACCGAGTGCCTATAGTTGAAACTGCCTAAAATAAAGTGTTTTGGTGTATTTGTTGTAATTTTCTGTTATAACACTAAAAGTTATTTCTAAAACAGTCAAATAAATAAAGTATGCACTACACTAAGCTCTCTGGACTTACTGGACTCACACGAAACACTTTCATAAATAAATTACACAACACATTTTTACCCACACGTTTAGTCTAAAAAAGTTGACGTATATTCTCGTCGAGTCTTAAGAGAATGTGACGCATCGTTACGAAGACTGTTGGTCCTCGTTTATGAGTAGGGGATTCCCGAAAAGAAGAACAAAAAAATAGAGAAAAGTTATAAAGAAACGAAGAAGAGAAGATAGAAAAAAGTAAATAAGAGTGTTACAGACATACATACAAAACCGTACCCATTAAAGACGTGGACAAATAAAAGTAGTACCATATACCTGCACCATAAATATACCGGATGTGTCCGAAAATAGCATAGTTATTTTGGTAAAGAATTCTTTAAGGTGATGGTTATATGAGAGAAAAAAAAGAATATGTTTACCAAAATATATATTATGTATGTTATTCAGGGACACCAAAGGTATATTTTAAATTGTGGTGAATTATTCTAGATGTGGTTAATATGACCAACGCCTGTTTTAGAATGTGCCCTATTAGAATACAGTAGCGGCTATTACATACTAAGAGACACAAAATCACTTTTAAATAAAAATAAAATCTGTTCAGTATTTTTTTAGTTAGGAAAAATTAAGCCCTCTTAGAAAAATAATTTGCTAGCCGCCACTGTAAGAATACAAAATAAAATATATACAGTTTCATCTAATTTAATGTCTAGTAAACTTCCTACATGAAATTTAGATATTGTATATATTGTATTTTGTTACCAACCCAAAAAACTGTTTTCTCACGAAAAACATACGTGTTTACAAATTTTCAGTGCTCTTATCCACGGCCAATGGGTCGGTAGAATTGGTTTGACGTGCCTGGACAGTTCCAGCTACAGAATAAGAAAAATCGATGACGTTATAACCCTCACTTTTCTACGATACACAACAGGTATACAGAGAAGACCAGGCTACTAGTAACATAGCAAGTTGCCGGACGAATTTACGCTTACCCGATTTGCGTTCGTACCGAGGTTCACACTGCCGGCTTCAGTCGGCTGGTCAGGCAGTAAGTAGTTGGTCGTGACAGACCAGGAAGATACGACGCGAGAAGTGCCGAAAGTATTTACATTTATTTTCATTTTAAGTGTTACCATCACTTAAGGTAACATTTAAAATAAAAATACTTAAATATTTATTATTTGAGTGTGTTTACAAGCCAAAACTAAAAATAAATAAATTCTCTAAACCCCAAAAAAACTAAAATATTACTCTAAACAAAAAAAGTTATAACAAGTGTTCAAAAAGACCACCTTCTTGTGGTAGACAGAAGCCTAGGGGGTCGTAAAGTCCCCGTCTGACATTGGCTAACATATTAGGGCTAAGAGTTTGAAAAGCCTCTCGTATTTTTACTTGAAGCTCATCCAGATTATTAGCCCTATTATGACCATACACTTTGGATTTTACATAACCCCACAAAAAGAAATCATTGGGAGAAAGATCTGGTGATCTAGCGGGCCACAAAATAGTTCCACATCCTGGGAAAAGTATTGTTCAAATATTCTTGAACAATACGGGCATTGTGGGCAGGGCAACCACCTCAGCAATTTGATTACTTGAAAAGGTGGGATTTTGATCCGCGATACCACAAATGTTTGTATATCCCGATAAGATCTATTTTGGAAATACCATTTTACAATTTGAATTTGCTCACGAACTTCGTAAACATCCATTATTTTACTTAAAAAATAAAATTTCTGAGAACTGTCGCGAGAATCTATGTATTCGTTTTAGCTATTAGGTCTGTTCGTTTTCCTCATATACGTATTACTTTTTACAAATATACTCAGCCTAATCTTCAAAAAGTGAAGCCCAAACAGTGAAAGAACAATATGGAATTCTGCATAAGTCTATTTCACCCGGATATTCATTTAACTGAGCATGCCTCACCTGAAGAAGTTTTCATTGGTCGATGTTTTGAAAGGGAAGTAGTTGACTGACATTTCCCCTAACCTTCAATTTTATTTATATTTTTATTATTTATAACACATTATCATGGAGTTGGAAAAATATCATAAAATAGTTGGAAACAATAAACTAAACAAAATCACTCTTTTACGCGCACAAATAAAAAGTAATACAAACAGAACTAAAACAACAATCAATCGGAGTTTGGCGCAATCGCAGTTCAATCCATATCCGGGTGAAATAGACTTATGCAGTTTTAATATGGAGCTGGGTTATGTTGTCTTTTTCTTATGGCACAGAAATTGCACACGGGGTTAAATAGGGAACCCCTGAGTATATTTGTAAAAGTAATATATATGCATTTTTTCCTCTTATTGTCGATTTTGAATCGTCCTAGAATCTCCTCAGCGCATGTGCGCAAATGAAATAATGTCTTATATTTCCTTCTGCGCATACGCATCACAATTCTAGGACGGTTCAGAATCGGTAATAACAGGAAAACGAAAAAAGCTATTAAAACACGAATAAATACAAATTCTGAAACATTCTTATCACATATCTACCTATTTTTATTTTATCGCATTTTTTCGCCTGCTTTTATCCGGCGGACGGCTATACGCTAATTCGTCCGGTTCTGCCTATGTTACTACTACGGTGGTCCGGTCTGTATAATCACATGCGCTGAGTAAAAGGCTTTTGTTCTGTGTATAGAATACCGGTTGTGTGTAAATTAAGTGTATTATACTAGGCTGTAAAAAATGAAGTTTACTAGGTTCAAAAATTGCTAAGTTGTTGTCAAAATTGAAGTTGGCATTTACGACATTTTCTCTTTAACACAGTAAGAATTCGAAAAAACATTAGATAAATTATTTTATTAAAATATAATACAAATTTTTTATGATTATGTTTCATGTTTTCTTTAGTTCCTAACTAAATTTCTGGATCGTATTTCAATAAAGGAACCCACTCTTCTATATCTTTAGAATCTAAAATTTATATTTATATTCAATCTGTAATAGAAAGTATGTTAGTAGGGAGGTTACTTGACAATCTATATGAAAACCAGAAATATACCGAGTGTTTTCCAAAAGTGGCTCACCCTTGTAGGCTTGGTGCATTCTCCGACGGTGCTGCCACTATCACAGAATAACGAAAACAACTAGTATATTAATTATTCTAAAAGTGTAAGGAAGTATAAGTTGTGAAAATTTTAAAAATAAAAATAAAAAAGTAAATATTTTGATATCTTTAGGTCTAACTTGTATTATAATTTATTATTCCAGTTAAAAAAAACTTTTTAGATGAGTTCAATTAAGGCAGCGAGCATAGTTTTAATTACCGGTTTTGCCAGTGGCGCATAATTGGGGCTATTTCGACTATAACGTAATTTTTTAAAGGTACATAATTATAATTTTAGGAGATGTTCATAAAACATTTAATCACTAGTTGATTAAAAAATGTATACCATTAATATTGCAAATTAAATTTTATCCTCTCATAGTATATTTATGTCTATTTAATTTTTTGATTATGTAACGAGCACTTTGTTTACTCACTTGTTTCGTCGAACTGCTTGAATTAATTTTGCTTTTGATCATATCGGTGTGAGAAACTATGAAGCTATAAAATGTTGTTTCGGGAGAGTTGAATATCCGGGAAAGTTGAGTTATTGAATGTTATTGCACCGAACAACGCCTTAATTACGCTCTCCTTTACGCGTTAACATTTTTTTGGCATTTTATCAACATTTGAAATTGTCACAACACAACAAGACGCCTAGTTCGAATTCTTTTTCACTTATTTTTTACTACCCGAAACAGCGTCACATCACACAAACCTCGCACCTGAGTAATTTATAGTCTCAATAACTGCACTAGCAAAAAACTAAAATACTTAAATATTATGACAAAACCACGATTTCAATATGATTTTAATGCGATCAACATGACGGCGGCGTAAAATACATACTGATAATTCCAGATTTTTGCCGTTGAAGAGCTGCGGTCGAAATTTGTTGAAATCAACTGAAATGCACCGAGCCTATAATTTTTATTTTTTCAAATAAAATTTTGTTTTTTTTTGTATGTTAGTATATGGGTCACTTTTGAGAAACACCCGATATATTCTCTGATATCAAAACTAAGTGAAAATAACAAAACAACTGTCTCCAAGAATTTTTTTGTACAAAAAATCGTACAAAATTTTACGTGTCACTCACCATGAATCGCTTGTTCAGCCTTTTCTCTGTCCTCCACCAAATAGAAGGCGTTGAGGAGGAAGAAGAACCCTCCAAGAATCTCCACGAAACACGTGATGAACAAAGCGTACTGTAACGACTTAAAACTAACTTCATCCGTGGGCGATGGAGATATAGTTGTTGTTAACGTGCTATTCGTCGAACTCGAACTGTCATGTTTGGTGAGCATGATAGCGAAGGCTTCTGATAGCTAGAAAAGGTAAAAAATATGATCGAGAAAAAACGGCGTCAAAGTTGGCTTAGAATGAATGCTGAAACTTGTCATTTTTCAAAAGCCAACAATAACTGTTTAAATACTTGACAATGAGGGTAGAAAAATAGTTTTAATCATTTTTTTTTTTTTTTTTTTTTTTTTTTTTTTTATAATTTTAAATAAATGTCGTGGTGTACTAGGTACTTACCACTCCTACTAAGTAAGGGCTACCTGCATCACCCAATGCATGGGACATGAGCAACTGGAAGCCTTCAGCTGTCGATCTCCTTATAAATTTTGTGCGAACTGAAATTAAAAAAGATTCTTATACAAATATTTTATTTAGATAAATTAATTTCGATGTCCACTACTGGAATAAGTTATTTTATCCCACTAGGGATAAAATATCACTTTAAAACAACTGCTATAACTGGATAAAAACTCCCATTATTGTATGATTGTGCATAAAAATAATTATAACAAGCGTATTACAATTTGGCGCCCAACGTGGGACTCAACGTAGTGATATTTTATCTAGTATACGGTTTAATCAGTTTCTAGTGGCGAACTACTACCTACTTACTAAAGAAACACCTTGTACAAATACTTACCAATAGGATGTCGGCCACTATGGCCCAGGTGAGATTCAGGAACAGTTCTCCAAAGAAGACCAGCGCGAAACATGCTCCGGTGGAGTATCTAGCCATGAAGATGGCTATGAACACGAAAGGACAGGACAATAGCATTCCTCCTCTTCTTCATCATAAATCTGCTAATTTTCAAAGGTTTGAGCCAGCCAAGAACCCAACGGTACCCCTACCAAACCGGATATCATAGCTACGATACCGAATCATGGTAAATCTTGAAAAAAGAAACACATTTAAATTTTTTCCGAGCCATAAATAATCTATCTTCTTACAATTTTATGATATAAATAATCCAAACCAAACACTAGAGTGGATTTGTATTCTCAAAAATTTACTCACGTATCCGTTTGATAATTTCCTTGAAGTGCTGAGCCCATTTCAATGTATTTTGGACCCCACCATGACAAAGCACCGGCTACGAAGGCCACGCACGTGAATCCAGCAGTGGACAGCATAAAACTCTTACTAAAAATGACGGAAAAAATATATCTTCAGATATACCATACAGCCTGACCAAATATGAGTGAAATCATTTAAATACTTTTGTAACGTTCTGTGTTACTTAACTATGTCGCGCCTGTCTTAAAGAAAATGTCTGAGCGAATTCTAAAGATATCTGACTTACTTTTGACAATATAACAGTATCTTCTCCAAGAAGTGGCCTCCATGTGACCACTCCCTTCACTAGCTCCTCTTTCCGGTTCTTTGAGGAAGAAAACGATGACTACAACGGCGATAGCCCCTAGGCCAGGGGTCACCCTTAGGGCCCAGTGCCATTTGCCGAAAAGTTTGGCAGTTTCTGCTCCCACTATGTAGCCCAAACCACTGCAAATAAAAATAATTTTGTTAAAAAATTTAAAATATTATTTTTTAAGCGCCAATATCAAAAATGGACGTATGTATGTTATTCTATACAAATCAATACAATTTCAAACAAATCTCGTATTTTTATCTGGGAAATTAACAAAGTTATAGAGGTGAGCCACTTTTGTAAATCACCCGATTAAAATGCTTGCACTTATTTAAGTGACACCCTGTACCGTAAATACGTAAAAGATGGAACTGCAAAGAAATCAATGAGCAAGTAAACGACACATGATCTCGCTTGAACCACGCCGTGCTAAGAGTGTATGTTTAAAAGCGAAGCCATGAGGTTTTTGAAATATAATACCACTTAAGAGCGACTTAGTCTCGTCTTTCACATTTTCAGCGGTTCCATTGAGACTACTTTCCGCGTAGGATCAAAAGAATATCCTACTAGGGATGTGTAATAGTATCGATATTACAAAATATCAATATACCAAACTATCGATACTTTTTAAATTACCCCAGTCTCGTCTTTTACATTCCCATTGAGACTACTTTCCATGTAAGAAGAAAAGGAAAAAGCCTATTAGGGATGTGCAATAATATCGATATTTTTAAAATATCGATATATCAGAACTAATAATTTTTAAATATAATTGCCCTGATAGACTAAAACAGCTTCTAACGAAAATTCACAACTAAAGATTTGGTTCAAATTGTTGTTTCCGTAATAGACTCGCTACGAAATTGCTGTACGATATACAGAAAAATAAGTAAACCTAGAGGCGCTTTAAAATATTTGTTACAAAACAAGGCGTCAACAATGATTGAAATGTCGTTGTCGCGCTATTTATACGAAAATGCCTTTCTATCTTGACTTATTTCTGAGCTCCGCAGTCTCTTCTCAGCAGACTATTGTAAAAACATCATTATTACAGATATTTCACAAAATACATATATCGATATTTTGTGTAAATAATATCGATAAATTTTAAGTACGGACATCCCTAAATGTGACCTAAATGGCGGAAAGTACCTACAGAGATCAGATTAACATATTTAAACAAACAATAAACGTACCCAAGAAAACCGGTACTCTGCACCAACATACTAAATTCTTCAAGAACTATAAAAAGACAACAATGTTATAATTTATAATACTCGTGTAGACCAAGTAAATATTCTGTGTTTACTTTTTAGTTATTATTAATAATCATAATACTATTTTCTTTGAAGGTACAATTGCGAAAATAAGTTAAAAATAGGCAACTCTTAGAATACAGTTGAAAATTGGAAGACAATGATTATGAAAAGAAAAATAAAAAAAATATATTTAAAATTAATTTTAAATAAGGTTTGAAACTCGGCCATCTTCCGCAATTGATAGCTCACGTCACGCACGCTTCTAGCTTATTTGTAACTACTAGTAAACATGTATAAAAATGTAGTTACCTTCCTACAGGGATGGCAAAATAGAATAATGCCAACATTTTTGAACGCATATCTCCAACGAAGAGATCGCTGAGTATAGTAGGAGCTATGGTAGAATAGCTGGCCTCTCCTATGCCAACCATCGCCCGAAAGAGTAGGAACCACCAATAGTTCTGCAATATAACATAAATATTGTCAATATGTCAAAAATAAACATATCTCTTATTATGACATTTACTAAATGCGATTATTACTTATTATAAAATAATTCAATAAAACATTATAACCAATTAACTTACAGTCATAAAAGAACCAGCCAGGGTGGTTAGACTCCACAAAAACACACCGAACGCCATCAGGTATTTCCTGCTGTATCTGTCACCCAAAAATCCAAACAGTGGACCAAAGGCCATATAGAATACGATGAAGGCAGTCTGTAGAAGCCCACCTTGATCATTGTTAATGTTCAGATCTTTTTGTATATCTGCTAACACTCGCAAAAAAAAAATCATGAAAAAAAAAAAAAAAAAAAAAAAATATATAAATAATTATATAATTACTACGTGTTAGTAAAAACTGTTACTTAATCCAATTTAAACGAGATGAATTTATTTCATTTGAGTGGCTGCAATTTTGGACTACTTAATTAAAAGCGGTGTGAAGCGTAATTTAACAAATTGAGCTCCAAGACGAAGAAGGAACACTTAATCAAGTGAAGAGCCCATTATATTAAAGAAAATCCTTTATGTATAGGTGCCTACATTTGCTTATATATAACACCTTATTTACTAAATAAAATTATTAAAAATGACATGATCTTTTTAACATAACGAAAATACTTAAATGTCGTATAAAGAGTTTGAAAAAAGTATTTATTTTTTTATACCATGGTTTAACTAATAGTCCTTTCAATATGCCTATTATTAATAATTGTTATTTATTATGGCTAATTATATTATTAAATCTTCAAGTATTTTCTTCAATTTTCAACACCCATCTATGTCGAGGTTATCAACATTTTTTCCATGTAGCTGTGTTGAATAAATAGTTAATTAGACATTGTGTTTCAAACATGTTTTATCAGTGTTTTGTGGGTTCTGTGCCAAAATAAATTACAATACAACGTTCAAGTGCAAATGAACTTTTAAATCTGTATTTTAAAAAACTCAATACAATTTGTGGTAGGGAATCACAATAAATAATAAGTTTAGATAAACTAATCACGATTAGTTTCAAGAATTTGGTTAAATAAGTGCTGAATTGTTTAATAACAGATAATATCTGTAGCATTGTTTTATAATGTAACATACGATATTTTCATATCATATTATCATACTTCAAAATTTTCCAAAATACAGGGTTGTTCACCACATACGACACGGAGTATTGTAGCTAAACGATTAGATTTTCACAAATTGTAAGTTTTGGGTTCGTTGAAGGACTATTAGAGCTACAATTTAAAAATAATTTTACAAGATACAGAGTGTCCCAAGTAAGTAAAAAATATTATAGTTGTATTTTCTAAATGGAACACCCTATGTGTCTATTTTCAGATTCTACGATTGAAATAAAATCCATTTGATTAAGGTTTATCACACTTAAACCTTACCGTTTTGAAATATTTCCAATTTTGTGAAATTGCAGTAAAAAAAATTAAGGCTTTATTTCTCAGAAGGGTATCAAAGTTTTAATACCCAAATATTTACTGAAGATTATTTTTTATTGGTCAGATATTGTGTTGTAATAATAAAATTGTATTTTTTTTTTTTTTTTTTTTTTTTTTTTTTTTATTAAACAATTACTAGCTATATACGGCAAAAACTTGTTTAATTTAAATGGAGAGACCCTGTATATTTTACGTGAATTAGATGTACAATTTAATTGTCTATCAGGCATTATACCATCTTTATATATCTCTTCAACTTTTCGTAGAAAATGCATTTTCTTATAATTTAAGACCTCATTTATCCTCACTATACCCATGGAATATTGACATTTTAGATTTTTAAAGCAACATATGTACAAAATGTACAGGTGGTAAAAATAATAATGTTGTAAACCGATTTGTTTACAAAAGAAAACTATTTTAAAACTATAAACTATTAAATCTTATACCAATTAATCATCTATTATTTCCGCCCAAAAATCAGTTAATTACATACTTAATTAATTGATTTAATTAATAAATTATTCTAAATAAATGTGGATTTGACTCAGGAAATCAATATAATAATGTCATGAAAATGAACATCTCTGTTGTAATAAATAAGCATTCGTCAAAAATGAGATAAAATTTATAAGGTGTTACTTTTTAACACACTGTCTAATTCAAAACTCAGTTTTTAGTACTTGGAGCAATTATTATTAATCAACGTAAACAGTCAATTAACGTAGTTTGAATACTGGGATCATATTAACTGGTCCTCTCTAACAAAATATTTAAAGAAAAAAAAGTTTTTATTTTTAATAAAATAAGCAAACTATATATCGACAATATTAGGATCTGTACTCTTTGAAAATGGCTCTTTACATCTTTAAAATAATCTAAAATGTCAATATTCCTAGGTATAGTGATAAATGAGGTCTAAATTTTAAGAAATGCATTTTTCTACGAAAGTTGAAGAGATATATAAAGATAGGGTATAATACAATTTGATGAACAATTAAATTGTACATCACGCAAAACCAAGTCTCAACTAAATAAAAAGTTGTCTCTTAAAATTTTGAACACTGTAGGCGAGCAGGCCTGACAGCCTGGCACATCTGATCAATAAATAATGTTTTATTAATAAAAATAAAAAAAAAAAAAAAAAAAAAAAAAAATAAAATTGGAAATATTTCAAAAACGGTAAGGTTTAAGTGTGATAAATTTTAATCAAATTTACCTTTATTTCAATCACAGAATCTAAAAATAGAATAATATACAGGGTGACCCATTTTAAAAAAATACAACTATAACATTTTTTACTTATTTGGGACACTCTGTATCTTGTAAAATTATTTTTAAATTGTAGCTCTAATAGTCCTTCAACGAACCCAAAACTTACAATTTGTAAAAATCTAATCGTTTGGCTACAATACTCCGTGTCGTATGTGGTGAACAATCCTGTATAGTTGATTTTAAAACTATATTTACACCAACAAGTCAACTTTGAAGATCATTAGCATAATATTTTGGTTTTGATAGTTTTACCTATTTTCTTTTATTGAGCTTTGTTTAGATAATTATTGGTGGATTAGGGACACTCTACAGAACTCTCTAAATTTTTAAAAAGTGCTTTGAATAAACCTACATACGCTGACAAAATTTCATTTCAATACAAACTGTCGTTCTCCTCGGAGCCTCCGCGGCATATGGGAGGCGCCACCCTGTATAATTTACAGCACAAGCTTATTTTTCCAAGTGTTTCCATGACAAGCCCCAGTTTATATACCACCGTCAAAAACAAACACAAACGAAAATTAACAAGTAAAACGGTGGCTGTTTCATCCCCCGTTTGTAATTACCAGCCCCTGCGAAATAACATTTTCGCCGCCGCCGTGCATATGGGGATGACACGAGGCTCCGAGACCTATTTAACCCCCATTTGGGGGCGGGTTTTTAGAGGGGACATCTTCCCTTCAACTGTTGCTCTGGATATTGAGGTTCGGCTCGAAAGAAATTGGATGAAATGAACCGCTAAAAGTAAATAGAGAAAGTAGAAAACTGAATGAAAATAAAACTCTGTAAAACCGTCTCAGATACTGGATTTTGTCGAAGCTCTGAGACTAAGGGGGACACAATAGATATATAAGGTCGAGGTTATAGACTTTTATTACAACAATAAAATAAGGTCGCGGCAATAACTGTCTCAATCTTAGAAATACTAGCGAGGACTTTTGAAAAACGAGAAAATCGTAAATATATTTCATTCTCATAACGGTCTGGAAAAGAACAATACAAGGAAGTGTTTATTTATATTTACATAAGACAGTATATTATACTTTCACTTAACGTTCTTGTTTCTGGTATCACACACAGAGACACATATTTACGATAATGCTAAATTGAATAATAATGCTTGTTTTGTTTGTAAATTTACAGCGGAGAGGGTATCAGTAAAATATGTGAATCAAATCGAAGCTTCATAAATTTTAATGACACTAGAGATAACGTGAAGTGTTATAAATAAGTTACATACATGTATATTAAAAAGAAGTGTTTATAATAAATACTAAATAACCAGTTATTAGCGACAGGAACGTATAATTAATATGTAAATATTATTAAAACGATTTAAACATTTAAATATAGACAATTTTATATAAATGTTTCTCCTTTGTGGGTAGAGTACTACAATATACAGGGTGTCCCAGAAATGAGTGCAAATATTTTAAGGGATGGTAGATCTGGTCAAAAGAAACATAATTTTTCTTCGCCATTTTTAAAATAAATTGAAAATAACCGAGTTATTTCACTTTGAAAGTTTTAAAAATAAATTACCACATTTTGAGAGCCGCCGGGGGAAATCGGCAATTTCCCGGATCTCACCTTATTCGCCGCCCGCTGTTGCCGCGACTAGAAAGTCTTAAAAACTACTTGCAAAATTCCATAACATTAAGTGGATGATCGCCAGTAGCCATGCTTCCCACATTTCCCAAATTAAATTAAAAGAAAAAAAACTCACCAAACATTAAAAAATATCCCAATAGAAGATCGATATAATTGCAAAGCTTTTTTTTCATTTTACCAGTCCTAAAACTGCCCTTAACATTACTATTAACTTCACTACAATTCTTAACAACACTAGAACTTTGATGCCACCTGAGGATCCAAACTTCCAAAATCCCTCAAATACTGAACCATACTCACAGCTCACAGAGTTTACACTTGATAACGGTAAGCGATCATTCTGACCGAAATGTTGGGTTAATCAAAATAAATAAAGACAATGGAAGTCCGAAATTCTTTTACTTTCAATATACTCACAAAGGTTCGAGCATTCGTGATCTGTTTATTCGAATACTCTTCGGAATAAAGCCTCTTATCTTCCGCAGCCCCTTCACCTGCCAGGGGGAAGTATGCAAAATTCACACTTTAGGTAGAGTTTAGAAGCATATCCACCTTTTTCGGATTTGTATAGGCCATCGCGATTTACCGATACCGATTACCGACACAAAAATATGCACTAACGAATATTTTAAAGACAATCGCCGATAACTTTCTGGAGTTTTAAAAGCTCGATACTATTAGAACGATTTCTGATAGTCGAACGTGCTGATCACAAACCTTATTTATTAACCAAACCAAAAATTTAACTCAAATCGATCAACCAGCGACATCTATAGAATAACGGATTAAGCTATTTTTTGTGAACGGACAATCGGCACTGTGGCGCGCAAGGCAAGAGTCGTATTAGACGGGAGCGGTAGGGGGCCCTACTGCTCTTAACGGTATTTACAATTTCTCGAGGGGTTCCCAAAATCATTTAAAGAATGTAAACAAACCAAAATCAACGTATGTTGTACGTGTATTCGTGTATCGTGCGTGTATCGCGTAAAGTTTTACAGCACTTTTGGTGTAAAAATCATTAATTTTTCTTTTGTGGGAGAGTTCAGTAGAGGTTTAGAAGTAGTTATTAAAAGCAAGTGGTAGTTTTTAACATTTTTTTGTTGTATTTGTGAGTATAGTGTTTAATGTGAAACATTTTAAATAATATTTTGCAAGTGATAGATTTGTGATGTTCAGATTATTAGATATTTGGGGTGTATGTGTAATGGTATATGGTTGGATAAAAATACTGATCAATTTTCATCAAAAGGGTAAGCTCTAACTTAATATTTAAAGATTATAATTGTTGATTGAAATGCTTGAATAAAAAATTCCTAATATGGCGAAAAAAGAAGCTCTTATAATTTATTTTTTCAGCCTACTCAACTGTAAAAGTACTTAAAACATTGCGCATTTTCCTAAAATTAGTATTAGCAATGTCCACTAATATGAATAAATTTAGTTTTCGTCTATTGAAACTTATGGCGGGTTTATACAACATAATCGTAATCATAATCACAATTTTAGTCATAATCATAAAAGTTAAAACCATTATTTTAGATACGACCGTTTATACATCGCAGTCGTAATCATAAGCATAATTTAATAACCTTGAAGTTCGTAAATTTTAGTGATTAAGACAAAAATCGGTTAGGGGGCATTTTTTTTTCATTTTTATGTTTAATAATTATGATAATTTTCGTGTTTAAAAAACCTGAGTAATAAAATTTAAACAAAAATACACTTTTAAAACGATTATGAAATAGAAAAATAAGAAAATTAGGTTACTTTATCAGCTGTATTTACATTCCAAGTTATGAATGCGACTATGTTGTATAAACGCATATTAAAATTGTGATTGTGACTGTGCTTATGCTTAAGACAAAAATTATGATTATGATTACCACTATGTTGTAGCCCATTAAAATTTCTGTGAATTTATAAACATTTCGAATGTGGGTATGGTAGGAAGTGGCAACATTGCATTCTTTCCGAGATTCTCTCTATGCAGGGTAAACGAATTTTCGGAGGGTGAACAGTGGCACTCAAAAGTTTTTCAAAATTTTCCGGAAAATGTCAAGAAAAACATAACATTTTCAACATTTTGACGACACATGAACGCATTAAACAATTTGCAACAGAGACACGTTAGACAACTCAAGAATCCGGTGGTTCCATCATGTCTCAAACGTATCGGACCCAGGCCAACGTAACAGTGCTACGTTCGCCCAAAGTATTCAGAGCACGCACACAGTCCCACACTAGTCTAGAATTGACCTCCGCGGAGCTGAGTGCCTTTAGCGCCGCTTGGCTGTCTGTGAAGATGGCCACAGAACGATTTGTTCTTGTAGACGGTAAGAGAAGGCCGGGTGGACAACTCAAAAGGTACAAGGACATTTTTCACGAAAACTTAAAGGGGAGTAACATGCAGAATGAGTGGGAAGAAGCAGTTCACAATAGAACTCAATGGAGAAGAATAATTGTAAACTCAGTTAACCACGACAACCAAAAAGTAAAGAGATTTTTGAATGTCCGGAGTGCGGTAGGCAGATAACTTCACGTATCGAGCTTTTCAGTCACAGAAAAGCTCATGAAAGAAAACGTCTTCCGAGACCATCTTCCGATGCGTGTCAAATACTCGTCAGCGAGTAATGGCAGTATGTATGATATTATACTTTTGTAACTTTGTGTTTTGCTCATGATAAACACAAAAGGCCTTATATGGCAACTTTTCCAGACAAAATAAGTTTTCCAATTTTCCAGTAGGACGAATCAAAGTCATCGATTTTATGAGTACAGACCAAACGAATTTTTTTTTGAAAATTTTCTATCAAGATCTACAACACCTGAATCTAAACATCATAAAATTTGACCCACGTAATGAGGGATACCCTGTATATTACTTACTATCCCTCGCTATAAAAAGGGCACTATACTCGTCAAACATCTGTCCCATTGAGTGTTTACACCATTATAACACCCATTCATAAGTAAACGCATATGTGTGTGTTAACGAGAGGATTCTTATAGTGTGCGGTTTATAAAAGCTCTTAGCATTTTCGTTCCTTTTGTTTTAAGCTCTTTTGTTCATATTATTTCGTTCTTTTTTATTAAACCTCACTAAAGGTTTGAAGTGTGGAGTTTTTATGATATAAATTCGGATAAAGAAACACAGATAAGACTATAAGAACAAGAACTTTATTAAATTAGAATATGGCACATAAGTCGACTTGAATAGTTTTTTCACAGAATTAATTCTTCCCTCAAGCGTTATTATATTATACAGAGGGTCCTTCAAATAGGTGCCTCGATCCAAGAATATGGCCAGAGAGGTTTTTTTGGAAAAAAAAAATTGTTAAAACATTTTTCTTGACATTTATGGGAAATAAAAAAACTTTTTAGGACCGCAGGTTCATTCTCATGAAATTTCTTGACGGTGTATCGAAGCCTTGCAATGTTGCCACTTTTTACGTTACACACATTTTGTATATTTGTGTTTATAAGTTCACAGTAATTTTTTCAATTCGTATACAATTAAAAAAAATAGTATTAAAGTTAAAACCACACAAAGAAACTGTGATAATGCTCAACAGAAATAAAGTGCGGATTCCAGCTTACAGCTCAAGTACAGTGTCAAGTACTACCTGAACAAGCCCTGAAGAATCAACGAAGTATTTTCTGCAGACTCCGCGATAAAAATCCCGAAACAACTCCCAAGCGACACTTTCAATTTGGAAAAGCAAGGTTAGAACTGGAGGAACTATGCTCTCATCCTATCAAAGACGTGCACAAGCTAGAGCAGTGCACAGGCATTTAGAATGTAGTCATACCGTCTCAGGGCTTTAACAAAAGTCAGTATGTGAGACAGCTCCACAGAGGCCAGCTCTCCGTCCTTGACATCAGCTGTACCAAAATTCTGGGCACGAATGGTCGTCGTCTAGGCGCACTCAGTGATAAGGTGTTCTGGTGTTTCCCTATTTTCCCCACAGAATCTGCATTCGCCATTGTTTCTCAGCTTCAGCCTACTGAGGTGTTCGTTGAGGAGACAGTGTCCTGTTAGAAACCCCGTGACAATCCGAAGATTGTTTTTACTTAAATCAAGGAAAACCTTTGACTTTTCTCGGTCGTAAGTTCTGAGTAACTTTTTCGAGTGTCTTAGACCGTTGGAGAACACCCCAGATTACGGATGGAGTCTTCCAGATTCTTCAGTTCTCCGTTTTCAGTTGGTTCCCACTTGGAAAACAGAACGGTTCTGGTCCAGTCAGTGGAGAGTGCACAGACATAGGAGAGTGGGATCATACATAAAAAAGAAACCAACCCAATAGGCCTTACTTTAAGTCCTACATTGTAATAAGCTTAATAAAAATGTAATAAGTTCAATAAGGCTACAGATAGACAATATCAAAGCCCACTTGATCATAAAACATTTTGATCGCACCACGACAGTAAACACTCGGGTGTGTAAAATAAGTAGAAATGACCGATAATAAGCAAGTAAAACAGACTTACATGCGCTGGCAAATTTTATTAACGCTAAAACGCGTTTATCTCACCACTTGTGTGTATAATTTCGTCATTTTATCTCTTCGTTTTGCCATCTAAAAGCTCTGTACGTACAAATTTAATTTTCACTTAAACCAAACAACGTTACGGCTCCATTAAAGGCCTTATTACATATGCGTGTTCCTGTGTTGAACCGAGCGATTGCGGCTCTTTACAAGGCAGTAATTTTAGAGTGCGCGGATTTCAAACAATTTAATTTATTACAACTGGTGTTGTTCCAAGCGAGTATTTTCTTTGAATTTAAATAGCATATAAGAGTTAAGGAATGCTATAAAAATCGGAGAACTATTGGAATATGTAGCTGAATTCAATTACCTCGGCATCGGCAGATTGATTTCGGAAAAGGCCAATATCGACTCTGAAATTCAGCACAGGATTAGCAGCGCCTCAAGAGCATCCTGGAAATTAAAAGACAGGTTTTTCTACAATCATGACTTTTTTTCCATAACAAGGGGCCGTCCTCTGCCGGAAACACTGCGACCTGAGAGGCCTATTGTGTTTGTCCCCCTTCTATATCTGCACCCATTCTCCTATCCCTGTGCCCTGCACTAGCTTATGCAGGTCCTTGATAGGATGGGAGCATAGTTCCTCCAGTTCTAGCCTAGTTTTCCCAAATAAAAAGTATCACTTGCGATCCAGAGCCTCGCAATGACATATTATGTGCTCCGCTGTTTCAGGATCTTTATCGCAGAGTCTGCAGCAAAGACATCCTTGATACAGGTTGAGATTGTTCAGGTGACACTTGACAGTCATGTGTCCTGTCAAGAGGCCTGCTGCTGTAATCCGCACTTTATTCCTGCTAAGCATTAGCAGTTCTTTTGCGGTTTTAGAGCTAGGTCCTTGGATAAAAGCCTTGTTGTGCCTGTGCCCCTGTCTGTTTCTCCAATGGACATTGTGCTTTTCCCTGATCCAGAGTTTTAGTACACTACGGACCATACGTTTGGGTATTCCCAGTACTGGCTCTGGACCAAGATAGGATGCCGATGATCCCTGCCTAGCTTGCTCATCGGCTTTTTCGTTGCCTGGATGCCGCTGTGGCCCAGCATCCAGAATACAATCATGACTTGAGCACAAAAACGAAAATTGCAGTGTACCGAGCAATAATATGCCAGCACATGAACATATCTTAAGAATTAAATGGTTTCACCATGTCTCAAATGTATCGGTCCTTGAAAAAGCCAGCTGCGAGAGCGTTGGTGTCATGATTACTAAAACCCGCTTAATATGGGCTAGTCACGTATGCAGGATGCAAGAAAACCGCTTACCAAAATCTCTTCTTTACGGTGAACTTGTAGACGGTAAGAGAAAACTGACTGGACAACTCAAAAGGTACAAGAATATTTTCCGCGATAGATATTAGATTAGATTTTCCGAGAGATAACATCACGTATCGGGTTTTTCAGTCACAGAAAGGCTCATGAAAGAAAACGCCTTGCTTAACGTCAGCGAGCAATGACAGTAGTAGTAGTGATATGTTTCGAAGAGGAAGACAATGTTTTTATTTACAACCAAATACCAAATATGGTATTATGCAATATTTTGAAACAAAATCATATATCATACTTTTTAATCGAAAGATTAGAAAACTACTTATGTTTATCAATATACATACAGTGGTGGCCAAAAGTATGGAAACTTTTTACTTTTTAAAATATCACAGAAAATATTGCTATGCTTAAACTCTCAGGAATATAAATGAACAGCTTATCAGCTAAATAAAAGCATTCCAAAAATTACACAGCGAAAAAAAATCTGTTTAGCAGTTTTTGTAGGGGAACAATAGATTTCTTGTGGCCAAAAGTATGGAAACCATAAATAAATACATTAAAATTATTTAGTTTAAGCTGATAAACGGTAAGATTTGCTTCAGATAAATATAAACATCTTGCCCAAGTCTAAATATTTCTCTACGGATTTAAAAATAAAATAGTTGAATTATACAAGAGCGGTTATAAACAAATTCAAATAAGTAAAAATTTAAACACTTTAAAAAAAAAAAAAAAAAAAAAATAAATTTAATAAAACAGGGAACGTTTCAACAGCTTTTAAGTCAGGAAGACCAAGAAAGTTGTGCAACAGGACAAAGAAAGTAATGAAGAGAATATCAATGGGAGATCCAAGAAAACATCCACAGACATTTCTCGAGAAATGGGTGAAGGGGAATATCGGTGTCTGCACGCACGGTGAGAAGAAGGTTGGATGACATGAAACTTTTTGGAAGAGTTGCAGTGAAGAAACCACTAATATCAAAGAAAAAATAGGATACCGCTTTAAATTTGCTTAAGATCATCTCACCTGGTCTTATCAGAAATGGAATGTACTGCTTAGCGACGAAAACAAGTTTCAACTGTTTGGTAGTGACCGGAGACGTTATGTCCGAAGACCAAAAGGTACACGGTACAGCCACAGTCCCAGATGCCCACAGTAAAACATGAGGGTGGGAGTATAATGATATGGAGGTGTTTTTCTCGCTCAGGTGTTGGTCCTCTTGTTAAAATTGATGGGATAATGGACCGTTTTTTGTACAAAGACATATTGGAGAATAATATGCTGCCTCATGCTGATGAAGAAATGCCACTCAGACGGTTGTTCCAGCAAGACAATGATCCCAAGCACAAATCTCGGTTTGTTCAAAATTGGTTAAATGAACATAATGTTCCACTAATGGATTGGCGCTCACACAGTCTCCGGATCTTAACGCCATAGAAAATTTATGGGACCATTTGGATAGCAAAATTCGAAGCCATTCTATTTCAAATAAAAATGAATTATGGGAAGTGCTAAAAACTGAATGGGAGGCCATTTCTAGTAAAGATTGTACGAGATTGATCGATTCGATGCCACGAAGATGTAGAGAAGTAATTAATTCAAAGGATATTCCACTAAATATTAGTAACTTTTATATTATCTTGAATTTAACAACATTCTTCTTGTTTTACTTTTTGACCAAGAAAATATTCATAATTTTTTATATACTTTGATAGGTGTAATTTTTATTTAAATGTGTATTAGGTTTTGAAATTATTTGTAGGTCACGATTATATAAGTCGTTTTATTTCATATTTTAATTTCTCAACATAAATGACAAATTAAAAGTTTCCATACTTTTGCCCACCACTGTATTCGAAATTTGAAAATAATTATATATAAAAAAAAAAAAAAAACATGTAATTTATCATACTTACAGCGAAACTATACAGGGTGTCCCAGAAATGAGTGCAGATATTTTAAGGGGTAGATCTGGCCAAATGAAACATATTTTCTTTACCATTTTAAAATAGATTGAAAAATAACCGAGTTATTTAACTTTGAAAGTTTAAAAAATTGCTATATTTGAGAGCCGCCGGGGAATCTAGCGGATCCCCCGGCGCGGGGGAGAGATCTCGCAGATCT